CCCCCCCCCCGCCTTTAATTACTTGTTTGGGAAATACTTTGACTAAACGAATATAATCGTAAGTTAAATTTAAGTCTAGACCATATTCCTCGTGGGATCGACCCCAACCTAAAGTTGGGTTCTTTACTTGATAAGGATCGCTTATGCTTCTTTAGGGAGGTGTAATTTGAGCGTATTAGTAGTTACACAATATATTTTAAATAAACAAAAATAGATTATTATTTTACTATTACATCTTCTACCTACAAATACATAATTTTAATTACAAAAGCATAAATTTTAAATGAATATATACAAAAAGATTCTCCTGTAACATCATATGTTATAAACCACTTAATAAATATAGATGATGAGTATAGCTTGTAACATCATATGTTATAAACCATTTATTCAAGATAGATGATAAGTATATATAATACATAAGAAGTTTTAATATATCATTATTTTGTATTTAAAATTTATACCAAACAATAAATATATTTTTACAGATAAATACAAGCATTTTTATAACTTCTCAATAACCATCCAATAAACAAGGAAACTTAAACTACAATTATTCATTGCATCTTGAAATTTCCGTACTATATATAGACATCTTTCAGAAATAACTTTACATACCTTTACAATGTTCGGCGATTGTTCGGAGATATTCAATAATATACATGGCTTTGCAATTTCACACAATCTCAGAAATTACATCCAAATCAATGCACTGGAACTTGAAAGTTCGTGTTATTCGATTGTGGATAGTTCCTGACAAATTCAAACCAAAAATACCTTACACTTTGGAGATAATTTTACAGGACGAAAAGGTACTACTCATACAAATAGTTTTTATATACTCGATATAAATTATCATAAAACAATATTTTGTTTTATTTCAGGGCGATCGTATTCATGCATCACTTGAAAGTCTGTAATTAAGCATTTCAGAGAAATTCTATATGACTTGGTGTTTTTCGGATGAATTACTTTGTGGTTGCCCCAAACATCATGAAATTTAAGACAACAACACACAAACACAAGCTTAACTTCACTTTGACTACAAATATTAAGGAAATTCAAGATCCTTCATTTCACATGGATATATTCAATATCCGCACCTTTGACCAATTGACAATTTATCACAACGTTGATGAGACAGAGCTTTTGGGTAATAATGATATGTTATTCCATTCATTAGTTTTTAAATTTACAAAATTACTAATGTATCTTCTTTGCAGATGTTGTTGGCCATGTTTCATATCAACCAATTCAACAGATACAGCAAGGAGATAACAATAGTTATTTCATCAATATTGTTCTAGAAGATGATAAGTAATTATTTGAAATTTAGTTTATTATTATATATATTCATTTATCATTTATATATTAAAATGTAATTAAATTTCATTAATACAGTAAAAATAGACTGTCAACAACGTTATGTGGTGAACTGGCTTGAAATTCACTCGCTTATCCGGAATGAGCTACTGAGTTGGAGTACAAGAAAGAAGCACCACTTCTTTATTGTCTTGAAACTCCGCTCTGAACCCGAATCGTACGGTCTAATATATGTGTCAAAGAGCGGATTCTCTTGCAGCGGATACGGGGCATGCCCCTGAGCCTATTGATTCAATTCCTAGCAAGTCCTGTCTCTCTCCTTCACTTAAAACACAGCCTATGATGATTCTCAATTCCTTTTGAACTTGCGGATCAAATACAACCACATTTCACGAAATCTACAGATGAACCTTTGATTGTGGTTTGTCAATTAATGAAGGCTCACAAATTTAGAGGTTTACACATTGTAATTTCAGTAACACAATTTTAAAATACAAATTTATTTTGTATAAATATTTTGACATTGTATAATATCAATCATCAGAAAACTACTAAGTACGTAGTTGTTGGTATCAAACCAAAATCTGGATTAATCCTAATCTACATCAGCCTAATGAATTCAAAGACAGGTTAGAAAATTATGTATAAATTTAGGCATGTATCTTCAACATTTGCAAGGTAGTTAATTATGCTTTTCTTTAATAATAATTCTAAATATAATATCGAAACTATATGTTATGAATATTTTTGCAGATTGATTTCATCATGTGATTATAAATATGAGAGGCTCTCCCAGACAAGTTCTAAAAACATCATTCTATTACTGATGAGTTGTCTAAAGGAGTTGTATCTTTTACATATCTTGTAACTATCATCTATCTTTTATATATATTTATATATATATATTTATTTATTTTCTATGAAGTGACTTATATTTTTAAATTCATTAGTAACAGTAGGATCATTAAATTTAACTTTACTTCGTACAAAATGTAAACAACACACTGTTAGCCGATTTGTACAAATACGTGAGTACAATTTAAGAAACATACATTATTCCCTTGTGTTAAAAAAGATGCCACACTTTGGCGAACAATATGGTGGATCCATCCCAATTTCTGAGCTGATATAATCAGAATAGAAATCAGATATGCTAAAGCTCAAATTTGACCAAAAAAAAAACACCTATAAGTATCTTAAGTATCCACACTTATAGTAAGTTCCAGCAATATAAACTGCACCATTATGGCGTTCAATAAATAAAATCATGTTTTTTAAACTCACCAAACAACAAGCAATTCATCTTCATTCTTTCAATATATATGTTTAAAAACCATTGAGTTCTGCTTCACAAACTTGATGTGTAACAACAAATCCTCCAGAGCCACCACTTACCACATAAAGATCCATATCTACCCCTTTGAAGGGTCATACAGGATGCTCAATATCAAGATTTTTATTTTTGATCTCATGGACAAGCTCTAAAAGAGCAATACTACTTGCCTTAACATATACAATTCTACTCATAGTTTCACAAAATCTGCTAAAACCAAATTTCTTAGGCTTCAGAAACTTTAATAGCAAAATCATGAAGTTGCTAAAGAAATTAAAGGTTAAATGGGTTTTCAAAATAGTATGCAACTTTTTTCAAAAGGGTCATGACTTATCTCAACATATTTCAAAAGCTTATTTTTAAACTATGTGATATGTGAAGTAAAGCTCCTTATAAACAACCTGTTGCTGAATTTCATTTATCTAGTAGATAAAGTATGATCAAAATAGCAAATTTTCCAATTGGTATACCCGTTATCCCAAAAGGTACCAGACAAGATATTGTTAATGCAACTGTAAATTCATCATATTTATGGCCACATTGTCAACTATTGACTCTAACAAAGAATATGAGGTTGCAAAGCAATGCGAACGATACACATTTGGAAGAATTGAGAGATTTTTCCAATTGGATCTTGAAAGTTGGGGATGGTAGCATTGGAAGTTCAATTCATGGAATAGACAAAGTTTTAATACCAAATGATCTTCTAATAAATGAGTATACTGATCCAATAGCATCTATTGTTGAAAGTACCTAACTGGATTTCATCACTAGTTGCAATGATATCGAGTACCTTCAACAAAGAGTCATTCTTGCTCCAACTCTTGATATGGTTGAATCAAATCAGTATATGATCACCCTTAATCATAATCCTAAGATATCATATTTAAGATCTGATAAAAATTTCCGGTCTGATCATACTTATTTAGCTTTAGAACATGTACACACTCCTGAATTTTTTAATAATATTAAATGTTCTGGCGTTCCAAATCATTCAATCACTTTAAAGGTTGGGGTTCCAGTGATGTTACTAAGAAATATTGATCAGTCAGCAGGATTATGTAATGGAACTAGATTGATTGTTACTAAACTTGGAAATCAAGTAATTGAAGCAAAGGTTTTATCTGGACAGATGGTTGGCCAGAAGGTGTTTATTCCAAAATGACTTTAACACCTTCAGATTCTAGAATTCCTTTTAAGTTTCAAAGAAGACAGTTTCCTATAACTGTATCATTTGCTATGACAATCAATAAGAGTCAAGGACAGTTTTTATCTCATATGGGCTTATTTCTGAAGAAGCCATTGTTTACGCATGGACAGTTTTATGTGGCTCTTTCCAGAGTGACAGATAGAAAGGGATTACAAATACTTACTTACGATGAAGATGGGCAAATAAGTAATGAAGCTACAAATGTAGTATATAAAGAAGTATTCCAAAATCTAATTTGACATACTTTGTATTTTTTTAATTCTATATATATACTAGATTTTTTGTTGTGTTTGTTACAATAACTGTTATATCTGTTTTAGATTTCAATACTTCTGTATTTTAACTTATTAAGTTAACATTAAGCAGGTACACATTAATAAAAAAAAATTAAGAAAGTTCAAATTACTTTGAAATATGCAATAGTAGATATGTACTAACCTTAAGTAACTCACTATAATCACTGATATTTGCCATCAATACACTAGCAGATAAAATTTCTTCCCATAATCAACTTATCCGTCATCTACGAAACACTTATTACAAAGCATTTATGAAAATATAGTAGGAAAGTTTATTCAGTTGTAATGCATTAAGAATGAAATTGTATTAGAACATTGTTCAAATTAGTTGTATATATCTAAATTATCATAAACTACACAAATCTATATATTAATACTACTATTAAACATTAATAATAAATAAAACTTCTTAGTTATCAGATAGTTTTATCCATATTTAAAGTACAAATAAATTATAAGACTTCACACATTTTCAATCTTTACTAATTTTTAACTTTACTCATTCTCAAAATAATAAAAGTGACAAGTTTCTATATTATAAAGGTAATTTTTCCAAATTATGATTTGGAGAACAAGAAAATGATAACTTTTTCTGATAATATATACAAAAAAACTATGTCGATAGCTTTTAATAACCTGTACAATGTGCAATATTGTGGATACATTACCAATTCTAAATCAACATATCCCTTAAACTCACAATTTAATAAATATTTAATTTCAAATACAATCAAATACCTTCTACTTATCATATCTTTTTAATAACTTGTGCTTCTACTTATCAGATCTACTTTTTAAATTGACCTAACTATTTATAATAACAACCTTATATAATTATAAATAAAGCAATTTTTAACATGAAATGAACTCTCATTTTTTTACTTACATAGCTAATCTAATTTCTTCAAAGTTCAAACAAACAATTCACATTAAAAATTGTCAAGTACAAGTTACTCCGGTTAGCTAGAAAAACTAAAACTGAGATTATCATTTACGAAATCTCTGAATCTCCAAATAAAATACCAAAATTTGTATCAACATAAGTTTATAATAGCTTTGAAATAACATGCATTTACTACTTTATAATTTAAATTAAATTTAAACTATTAACCCATATCTTACGATCCCAAATAAATCTGAAGGAGACATAACCTGATAAATCTCATAAAAATAAATCCAAAATAAGAACTACTTCATGCTAATATATTCTTCAATGGAAGTTCTCATAAGAAGGATCAATATAAAAAATGTCAAACATTTAACTCACCATTTCACAGAACATTGGATTTTTGACAGAACGATGCTAGATCTGAAAACAACTCCGATCAATTCTTTTATGCCATATCTATTAATCTTAACCTGCTTGAAGAAAGTCAATTTTATTCTATGTTATCATTTGCATGTTCAAATGTTGAAATTGTAAAATAAACTTTACCATAATTTTGCAGAAGAGATTCATAGTAGAAAGGACAATCGAAGATTTACTAAAGAGATGAAAGAAAGAGCTCTCACACCATTGACAAATCACGCAGAAACTTAGAGAAGATCGACACTAAAAGCTTATAGAATCCCTATATTATATTTGTCCATCCACACTCGGAAGAGGGACCTCACCTTCCAAATCTGGAAAATTGTGTTCATATTTTGGTCTCGTTCCAAAGAGATCCATTTTGTTTGCTTTTTTCGTTTTTTCCTCTTTTTTCTCCAATTAGAAATATATATTACTTTTTGCACACACTTTTGGACTTTGGTGGGTTGTCCAAAAGTAGATTTTATTTTAATTTTTTTCAAATTCACTAATATTGGCCAGATTTTAATAAAACAAATAAATACATATAGATACAAATTCACACATAAATGACTTGCAATAAATAAATACTAAAGGCACGCGCATCAATATTCCTAAAAAGTTGTTTCTTTGTCACATCTTACTTTAATACATTATTAAATTAATAAATTATTTTTTATTCCCTCCATTTCAAATTAAATTAATTGTTGAGAGTATAATAAATATAATTTATATCACATTTTTAAATTTAATCTCAAATTATATTAGGTTTTTAGTAATTTTTATTATTTTTATTAATTTTTATTTAATACGTATTATTCTTTTCTTCAAAATTTATTGTACTTATTTATAGTAAATCAATTATAGTATAATTTTTTAAATATATTTAAGTTGTGCATTATTTAAATTTACGAAACTTTTACTGTACTATAGCATGGATTGCTTTCATTCGAATGTCCTTAATAACTTGACGCGAAATAAATTTTAAATATTCAGTCAAAGTTTTATATATTGTTCATATATTTCAAAAAATATATATATCTTTATATTTTTTAAAATAATGCATGTTCCTCATCTCACATATTTAATTACTATTTAAATAATAAATTATATATTTAAATTTTAAATTTAATATTTTATAATATTCGCGCAACGTGCGGGTACGTATACTAGTATTTTATAAGAACTGAATATTATTCTTTTGTCAGTTTTGAGTAAAACTTAAATTTTAACAACCGGGTAAAAATTCATTCACTATAAGTATACTTATAATGACAAAATTTATGTCCCTTCGTTAAGCAATGGTCGTTAAAAGTCTAATTTGTTGTATGATAGTTTTCATCCATGGAGTTCCCAAATTATCCTATTTTCAAAGTTAGAAATCCCCAATTAAGTTAGGGTTTTCTTCAATTGTCATGGGTTCTCTTGATTATTGATTTAAATGATTAAATTATGATCTCTTATGCATGAATTGATGAAATACAATGATTTTATGATGATTTCTCCATGAACCAATGAAACCCCATGTTTTCCAAATTATGTTGATATGATGTGGGTCTTTGCTTATGAAAGAGGAGTTTTATGAAATAAAGCATGAAGTGATAGAATCACGTAAATTATGATGAAATCCATATCTAATCCTTGTTTTCTAGATGTGGTGACTGAAAGTGAGTTTTGAACCTTGAAAGGTGAATTATGAGATTATGCATGTTCTTATGAAATCTATGTAAATGTTTTAAGGATGCTTTGAAAGTAAAGTATCAATGATGATGTTGTGGTTGTGTAGTTGAAAGGATTTTCTCATAAACACATGAAAGTATGATTGTTAAAGGTTTTCTCACATAATAAGGATTGTAAGGTTGTAAGGTCTTCTTACCTAATTGAATCAAAGATAAAGAGCTATTCTAATGAAACCTAGCTACCTAATTGTACCCTTCCATGGATGACTTATGACTTAGTTTGGAATTGCAAGATGACATGACCTTCCATGGATAATGAGAACAAGTAAGAAATGACTATTCCGTGAGATTTATGCTTAGCACCGCGAGGATATTGAGATGGAAGCTCTCCCATTAGTACAGGCCGGGTTTCTAGAAGCAATCTCCTTATCCCTTACCTATGTTCGCCCATAGGATGATTTTCTAGATAGACATTGGCTAGTGGATCAACTTAAGCTAGAAGTTCATGGTCCTTACCTTGGCAAGTAGTACAACCCTTTTCGGTGTGGGAGACACCGAGGGATCATGTTATAGCTCGCATGGTATTTATGTCGGCTAAGGCTACTTCCCACATTAATAATTAACTAAGGTTACTTAAAGAAGTATCTCGTATGTGTTCAAAGGTTTTGAAGTTGTTAGCTTGCATTGACCATGTTTTATGATTTATGTTTTCTAACCTTCTTATATCATGTTTTAGCTTGGTTAATTGCATGTCATGAAATGTCCCATTTTAGCATGATTTAAATGGTTTATGCATGGCTATCATACTTGGTACATTGTTTTGTTCTAACACATACTCTTGCCTATATTTCCCCAAAATGTAGGGTCCGATATTCAGGGTTCTTAGTTTCATGGCTAGAGGTTGATTTTGTTGATTCCCGAGCTTGGTGAGTCCTCATGCTTTGAGGACAGATTTTCATTGTTCTTAGTTTCCTTCTTATTTTCAGTTTTGAACATGATGTATGGGCTAGGCCCAATTTTATTCTATTGTAGTAAATGGCTATTGAGATAAGTGTTTTAGACTTCGGCTTTGTTTTATAAAATTCTTGGACTTGAAATATTGTTTTACCACTCTTGTTCTATTTCTTATGTTATGTATGCTAAGTGGATTGTATGGGGTCTCTCGGGGTATCATACGCTAATGTTACATCTAGGGTGTACCCCTGGGTCATAACAGATTCAATTTTACAGTCAATTAAAGAGTGGTTCGGGCCTTAGCTTCGAAATTTTCGGGGTGTGACACACTTGGCTTTCATTCTTCCTTCCTTTCCACCCCAAACTTAGGCTTTTGGCCTAAGTTGGCTAACCAAACACAACATTCTTCGAAAGGGATTTTTGGTGAGAATGTAGGGAAAATTAGGTTCAACGGGCTTTCTTTTGGTCTTTGACAACAAATCGGTTAAGCTCAAATGGTGCAAAAATAGATACACACCCTCACAAGGTAGTCACAAAGGAGTATGGACATTTGGGTTCCCTCTTTGAATTGTTTCCCAAGATCATGTCTCGCATTCACCAAAATTTAAACAATTGGACTAACAAGGCAAATAGGACTCCACATACATGCTTTCAAGTAAGATCACACCACACATGGCACTTCAAAATGAACTCATTGAGCATATCTCGAAAAAGATCAAAAGTGTACCTGTGATATTCATTGCAAGGCTCACATCAAAATACAGCTAGTCAATCAAAGATTCAAAGAGATAGCTCAAAAGTGCAACCACATCGATTTCATTCTCCCAACACCAACATTATACAACATGCTCATCATGAGTACTATTCAATACATCAATATTAAACACAATTGATCCTCAAATTTTTATCAATGAAACCTCGAAGCATTTCACTATTTTAAACTCATGGGAGTTGCAAACTCAAGAGAGAATGAAATAAAAACAAGAGACACTTTTACCGAAAGACCAATATAATAAAAATAAAAGTAAAGTACTACAATTATTCAAAACTCAAAATAACAAAATATAATAAAAAAGGGGACTATTGGCTCAAAGTCCCTCACCCTACCAAAATAATATAGTAGTGTCCTTAATGCCATGTAACAAAATTACGAGGAGGATGAGATCAAAGGGTCCCTGACAGGATATGCATGTGGAGCACTCTCATCTAGAGTCTCAGGCTGGGAAGCCTCAATAGGGGAATTAGTACCCGGCAATAAGATCACTGGAGACGGCAGGGAAGGCTCAACTAGGCATCAATGCCCATCTCAGCGGTCGAAGAGATGGGGAAATTTGAAGTGACTGCACTAGAACCAACTGCTGAACTCTCCAAAAGGGATAGCTCCAGGGTCGTCTAAAGAATGATCTCCTCGGTCTCCTGCATCTCAGTCAATGTCTGAGCAATCCCATGCTCCTCGCTCCTCAATTCCTCCTCGTATGTTTCCTCGGCCAACTCGTCCTTGGCCCTCCATCCTATAAGTACTCCACCTCAACCATCGAATATCACCGGAGGAGGCCGATCTGATCCTTACATCTATCTTCCACCGAAAGGAAACTCCCGCTCTCTCATATAAATGAATAATACGCATCAGGAAAGGGAGAGATTTCTGCTCTTTCTTGGCCCATAGCAACATATCTTCCACAAAGATAGCACCTACATTGATTTTTTCCTTCTTAACTATTGTGCCCACTAGCACTGCCTTTGGATGTTGGAGTATTGATTTGTTTTGGGATGGCATGAAATTGCTGCCTAATGAAACTGAACCAATACCATACCACAATGTGCATGTCCTTCCTTCTCTATCTTCTCCCCTTCATCCATCAAAAAGGGATAAGACTCATTGGATATTAAAGGGGCCAACAACCCTTTAATGCATTAATATTTTTATGCATCGAGGTCATGTATTCATCAGTTTGGTTGGATAGGGTGCATAGTACTATATTAATGCTCAAATTTTATATGTGTTTAACTAATCATGACTCCTTGACGATATAATGGAAATTATGTTGAAATTTCTTATTTCAACGAATTTAGAGTAAATTAATATAATATCTGATTGTTATTTAAATAAAAAAATAATTATATGCCAACGTTGTTTTTATTTAATAGTTTCATTTCTTTTTGTTAGTTGAAATACTTATTAGGATCTAAGTTTTCCAACATAAAGTAACTATATTAGTTAGTGTACAATAATATTTAATCTTGATTAGTAAAAATAATGTTCTGTACAGATATATTTGTCTTAGGTTTGATTCAAATATTTTGTTTTGACAGGTTCACACTTTCTGTTTGTTAGAGGATTAACTAAATATTCTTGTTTCTTTGTTAGATTTATGTGTGAAGTTTTGTCTATTTATTTGTTTTGATGGTTGAAAAGCATGAGTGATGCAGTTTTTATATTTAAATCTGTTATAAAATAGAAAAGAAAAACATTTTACTCCATAAGAATAGTCTTGGATTTTTAATTCAAAAAAATCGTTAAGATTTTTTTATGTGATGATAAATAATTTGTGGCAAGGTTGGAAAGTGCTGCTACCAATACAACACCACACACTAATAAAACGAGACACTTTTAAACAATTCAAAATAAATCAAAGAAGGTGGATAATAAGTTTTTCTTAAGGCCATACACATAAGATATTCAAAATTCAAACCAAATATAAGTCAATAAAGCGATTGTGCTAGACCCACGGGACTGACACCTTCTCCTCGGT